CAGTCCAATAACTGAATGTGTTATGCTTACATTATACTGAACTTGCTCTAAATCGAGGCGTCCGCATTGTAGAAAAAAGATCACTAAGTGAAACATCAAATATTCAAATACTGCAAAGTATATGTATAACAATAACTTTAAGGGAAGGGGCAAGACTCGATATACTCTTTTTTTTCTGGACTATCTTTTTCTTATATCATCTGAAGAGTAGAATTTTTTAGATTGATACCTGCTGTCTGAATAATTTATTATTTCATTACACACGATTACTTAGTGTTTATATACATACAAATAGTTAATTACAATAATACTACATATTCAAAGATCTCTTGTTTCCATTACAACTCTACGTCGGCCATTTCCATGGATCTCATGTCTCTGTGACCTGCCATGAGCCTGCTCCTTGCATCTAATACGGCAAGATGACGAGCTGATTTTGCTTTCTTGGCTTGAATCACAACAAGTGGAATGGGCACAACCAAGCAAACGAGAGCTATAACATCGAACACGAGATATACTCCAAGCGGACGATTAGGATGAGAGACGAACCACAAAATGCCTATTAATAAAAGAAAAGGTGCGTATTAAAAAAGATATCAAATAAATAAATAATGGAAAAGAACTATATACAATTGTGTAAACGTGCTCGTTGAACTTTCTTCTCGCACATAGACCCAGTTGATCATGCTTTATTTACCTGATAATCCGTATTGAGCGAAACTCCCAAGATTCCACAACGACAAAATACCAGTCAATCGCGCGGGAGAACATATGAAAGCACTCTCTCCATCGTACACGTACCATTCATATGCTTTGCCAACACTCTCCTGCAACTCTCTCATTTCGTCACTCACTTTTCCAATCTCATATTCATCATTCCTGCTTCCTTTCCATATTTTCAATGCTCTTACCCAATTCAGCGCTCTTTTCGGGTGGTTGATAAGCGTACACGACACAACAAATGCATTAACCACTTGAAGGATGGCCTCCAATGCCTTTGTTTCTTTTTGG